CACGTCTGCGTCTCCCTTTTGGCTCGTGGTGCTGTTCCCCTATGCATCATCGTAGGTACCACGTCTAGCCCAGGAGGTGGAGAGACCGCGCACGAAAGGCCAATGGCTATCCGACGATTTATCTCGAGAGCGAGCCAAGTCGCGATTTTACCGCCGTATCCTTCGTTAGGCCAGTCTTCCTGAATCCCCGGCAGGGTAATATAAACAGATTTCTGCGATCGAGGAGATCGTGTGACGCCGGTGGATGTCGCGCGACGCGTCTCGGGGGAGATCTTGATTCGCGGGAGGATTGATTCATTCGTTTACGTCACATCGACCAGTTTACTTGGAAACTGGGAAAATTAACGCTAGAATTACCGATCTATAACGCGTGTCTAACTAAAACGTACGTACAACGCGATTATAATTCGAATAAAATAATAAAAATATCAAAGTGTGCACAATCGTGCTCCTATCCGAGTAAAAGTCACCAGAAATTGTGTATTTTCAGTAATTATAGAAACAACGAGTCAGGAAAAATTCTGACGAGTTTGGTAGATTTGTATTAATTAATTGATCCGTGAAATTTGAGGATCTTTGTTAGCTACGTGATTTTTTAGATGAAAGGTAACGAGCCAAGCCTAGTCCTTCATCCGTACTGCTTGAAATATCGTGTTTGATTTCTTCGCGATGGTTGCTCCATCCAAGCGTTTTGCCTTTCTGACGTATTCATCAGCCGATATTAATTTCAATGAACGTCGCTTAATATCGCAACCAGTGTTAGGCAAAGGCACGACGTGGCTGTTTGTACCGTTCTTCATAGATCATGGATTTACGTGTACAGATGACTCGGTAATTACGAACGCGTCAGTCCTGCGGTTAATCCCCGTGTCGAAAGACCACAGTGGGAAAAACTTTCACAGATTGTTAACCAGGTATGAAAGCACTAAAGAGACGTATGAAACATCGACGTGATTCAACGAGATGTGGCTGCGATGTGATCGCGACGAGACCTTCTGAACGGCCTTACGGAGAACGTTCTTTAACCCTGAAGCCTTGGTTTCTTAATTCCTTTATGCACAGCAGGCTTCTATAGTCTTAAATTGAATCGATGCTTCGAAACTATCGGTATATCTACTGGTACCAATATTGGTATATAACGTAAATCTCTAATATTAATAACATTAATCGATGGAATGTCAAATGATCATACTTCTGATGTACAAATTCGAGATTTGCAAAGGGAAAAAATTTTCTTTGAAAGGTACGCTCGTGAAGGCTTCGTTCAAGAGATATTTGCTTCTACAGTTATAGGACTATAGGAATAAATGACATCGAAATGCGCGAAGAAGCTACAGACACATGTCAAAGGTGCCATGCTTGTCTCTGTGCCGGAAGCCATCATTTTGACGTATTTAATCATTGCATTTTCGTCATTGCAAAGCAATAAAAAGAGTAGGAGAATGGAAGTCAATATCTCTTGAACGAAGCATCTGTGAGAATACCCTCATAGTAATCTTCATCCTTTTAAAGTCTCAAATTCGTATTTCAATCGTGACCATTCAATTGCATTTCAAATGTGTTCTGTGCACATACACGTACATAATTATCACAAGAATTAAAGAAATTAGTATGTTATAAGCTGAATAAATTCGATCTTCGTCATTCGCAATCGAAACTCTTCGCAACCCTTAATGGTACACCTCAACCTTTCAATTTAGAATTCGCAGAAGTACGAACATATTATCGCTGGAGGATATCGTAATGATGGTCCTGCGACGATTTTACAACGAACCCTCATCGGTGTTTCCCGAGGATCGGTTGTTAATCCCTTATTCCACCTATGGGCGACTCGGCGCCACGGTATCCTTTAACTGACACTAATTTCATCCTGAAGAGATTCTGATTTACGAGGACTCGTCCAGTGAGTCGAGTTTCTTCTCATCGGCAGCGAGCTCTAAGTTTTTCTGATGCCGTTCGTCGAGGTTGTTGCTCCTTAGCACCGTCTTCAACGTGTCGAATCGAAAAGTTCATCGTATCTGTCTTCACTTCCGAACCAGTTCCAGGGATCGTGCTTACTCCCTTAATTGCAATTCTAAGTCAACAGATCCGTTTCGTCGGGTCTTTTAGCCTCTTGGGCAACTAGCCGCGAATATTCGAAATCTACAAATGCATTTGCTACGAACCGTTCTTTCCCTGTTTCGCAAACCGCGATTCCACTTTTCGCGATATCGCCGGTCATTATCCACGGCAGCGATTTAAAAGAAATTTAACGGTGACTCATCGCGATTTAGCGGTTCACCGACATTTTTAGTCCGTTTCCTTTGTGGCCAGCTATGATGGATCTAGCGGAGGACCCATAAGCGTCCTTCAGCCTCTTCCTTGGTCCTCCATTTTGAAACGTGTTCTGCGGGATGTTTGGAAAAAGTTGGCGATTAGAATTGTTTATTACGAGTGGTTTTGCGTGAGGTAACACAAGGTTTACGAAGAATCGAACCAGGAAACTCGCTTTCCGAGTTTTACTTTCGCCCAGCACTCGATACCCCGGGAACCTTTATCGGTCGCTACTCAGCTGGCTTTTTAACATGGAGAACGTGTTTTGAATCGTCTACGAACCGGACAAAAACGTCTGCCCACGAACGCTTTCTCACGTATGGTGTAACGTTCGCAATGTCGGGCGAAAAACAATCGAAAAGGCCAATTCCAAAATTTCGTAAGTCTAATTGACTGTAATTTTAGAGAAACTACCTCAGTAACTTATTTTTGCATACCTCGCGTGCACTTTTTATCGCTCCTTCTTTCTCTCGAGTGTGCAACGCGTTTCTGTTACACTCGAAGGATCTTAATATCCTAAATTTGACTTGAATTTTTATATTCCAAATTTATATATATTCGCAATATTCTCGATATTCTAGATTTAGAACTAATCCGAATATTGCAAATTCGTTCGAAGATCGTGATGGTGGATATCAAGAAATTACAATGAGACTATCCAGTTTTTACTTGTACAGGTTCTCCTTATTTTTACCGGATCTTCTCCTTCCTCGGTCTTCGTTTTCCCTCTATTTAAGCGAAAAGCACGCGCACCGCGACGCGGCAAAGCGTCGTGACGGCAAGGTTAATAAATCTCCCAAGAACCAAGAGATTCCCTTCAATTTATAATCCCGCTCCCACTCGTGGGAGGGAACGAATCCCGAGTCGAGGGATCGTAAATTCTAGGAAGCGAGCGAACAGGCTGGCTATCGGAAGCGTTCGAACCTCGAGGACTTTCTACGATCCTGTCGTCTCCGGGAATTCTTCTTTCGTTAGGGCAACGACGACGATGAAGAGGAAGATCACGATGCACAAAGTACGACCGGTCTTTCCTATTGGCTCTCTCGTATACGCACGCATTGCTTCGTGCCTCCGTAATTTGTGTGTTTCGAGGTCGTGGAGAGAAGAAGACCCGGTTTCGAGGCAAGGGAATCTCGGAGGTAGAAACGTGTCGGTCGAGTTCGAGGTACATCGACCATATCGAAGAACTGTTGCGAACAGGTGGTACAATAAACCTCTCTTTTTTCTCTTCCATTTTCTTATTTTTTCCGGAATCCCATTATCGTTCCATGTCACGAGCCAAACTGTGCATAATCGAGCTCGTCCAAGCCGATTGTTTATTCCACTGTCGCGCAATGATTGCAATACGAGCAGTTCCGAGATCGTGAATTGTAACGACCCAGATTTTCATGTATCCGGCACTGTTTTGTTTCTTCAATTTGTTTGACACATCGAAAACTTCTTAAGCTCGTGTTCCATCGTGTGATGAAATTATCCAGACAAAGTGTGCGTGTCTGTGTCTCAATTATGCTAATAGTAATGAGCATAATTGTACCGGTAATGTACTTATTTCACTGGTTACAAAGATTATTTGCATTTTAGATTTCCCGTGCTTATCATCGTGAATTTATGCACAGATAATAGTAATTTTACAAACTTTCGACATTGGTATTTCCAGTGCTTAACTTAAACAATAAGATACTATTGCCAAAGCTATACTATCGAATTAAGTATTGTTCCAAGTTTCAAAACTTATACGTAATTAAACCTTTCGCCTTTTTACACGAGTAAAGAAATACAGTTTTTGCGTTTGCAAAAAGAATCCTTTCCTTTCACTTCCTATATTCCGTTTACCATCCTATTATGTCAAAATCGTGAGATGTGACGTTATCATTAGAAAAAGGCATTATGTAGCCGAGTAACAATTCCGTTCGAAGAAAGGATCTGTTATCTCTTTCTTGTATTTCTTGATCAAGGAACATCGAGTACGTCTGAACGATTAAGAGCGCAAGCTTGTTATTAGAGTAGGCGAGATATCTGTGTATAAAATGTCCTACTACTTTCGCCTCTAATAAATTTACCAGCTGCTCGATAAAAGACCCGCGAATGTAACAACGTGATTTTCTATTCGCCAAACTGGTTCCTCGGCGATGTACTTCCGATCTTATCGAGCGCGCGATTTGGTTTCGTTGCTTGCTTTTTCACTCGCAATTTAACAAGTAACAGTGTATAAATTATAGCGCGGAAACTATGGGCTCTATGGTTGGACTCGCTTCACAAAGTGGAAGATCAGATTTCTAGACCGCTCTGGAGAACTAAGCGCCGAGAATCCAGTTTGTACAGGGCGTTTCGAATTCGTGACTCCAACCACTCTATAAATACATTCATTAACTTTGCACTCGTATTTCGAGAAAGTCCTCTACATTATAGCTTATAACGAGCCTATAACATTCTGATACTTTGCATAATTTAATAGGATTATATCTTCACCATGCATATTGATAAATAGTTTTCCTTCCAACTATATATTTATGTTGTTACATTCTACATACGTGTTTCACCCGAATTGCCATGAAATCGTTATGAAAGTCCTATTTTCAAGTTTCACAATTTTTAATTTCCATTCCATGCTTGTGCAACACATTTATTTCAAACTATGGCAAGAGTAGAGCGCGGATCACGATCTACGACTAACGAAATCGCACATGTTAACCCCTTGAACTATCCACCAGTGCACCTAACCTCTCAACATTGTTTGTCGGATAATCTTGATAAATATTAATTACTATCTCGACAAATTGTAAAGTACGAGAGATAACCTGTAACATAAATTATATTTTAATACGCTATATAAAGTATACACGGATACTGTACTAAAAATCTCTGCTTCATCCTACCTGATATTTACACACGTACATTCCTCCGTCCCTACGTCCAAAATATGATCGTTTCGGCTACCGACCGATTTTACGACCCTGCTATATATACCATACTATACACAACATAATATACTGTGCTATACACAACAAACGTGTGAAACACTTATCGAACGATAAAACGTGTAACATACTGCGCCCTAAATATTCATAAAATGCTCGATTCATCGTAGAATAGCGAGGAAGCAACCTAACCTCACCGTTTCATAAAGAACAGTATATTTCGCGAGGCGAGGTACGAAGACTGACCTAACGTAATGCGGAATATGCGGGATGCGTTGGGAGAAACGCGTGTACGGTTACACCGGCCGCGTAGACAACGGTGCTACACAAAGGCGTCGATGCCACGAATATGTGGGCGACGCTCGAGAAAGTAAAAAATGCTCCAGGGCCACGTATATTGTCTCCTGAGCGT